GTGAGGAAAAGACAGTCTCTTCAACAAGCGGTACTGGAAAAACTGGATATCCACATACAAAATACTGAAACTGGACCCTGTTCTTACACCATACACAAAATTAACTCAAAACGGGTTGAAGATTTAAGCATACGATTAAGTCATAGAAGGAAACACGGGGTGGGGGGGAAGCTTCATAGTGTTGGCCTTAGCAATGATTTCCTGGACCTGACACCAAAACGCACAGGCAACAAAATAAAAATACGCAAGTGGGAGGGCATCAAACTAAAATGCATGTGCGTGCCAAGGAAACACCCGCCAGGATGAACGCCAGCCTGAAGAGCAAGAGAAAATATTTGTGAACCATATCTCTGATGAGATGTTACTATCCAAAGTATAAGGACCCTCTACAGCTCAATCACATACACACACACACATACACATACACATACACATACACACAATTTTTAAAATGGGCAAAGAATTTGAATAGACTTTTCTCCAGAGAAGAGACACAAACAGCCAACAGGTACACAGAAAGATGCTCAAGTGACCAGTCACCAGGGAAGCACAAATGAAAAACACAATGATGTGCTGCCTCGTGCCTGTCAGATGACCATTACTGTAAAACAAACTCACAGAACCAGAAAATAACACAAGCCAGGCATGACGTGGAGACACTAGAGCCCTACAGTTGGTAAGTGTGTCAAATGGTGCGGCAGCTATGGAAAGCAGTATGGAGGTTCCTTGAAAAATTAAAAGTAGAACCACGGCAAGATCCAGCAATCTCATTTCTGGATATTTGTCCAAAAGAACTGAGCACAGGGCTTCAAAGAGCTAGTCACAGTCTCACGGCCACCACCGCATCATTCACAGCAGCCACGGAGTGGATACAACCGCAATGTCCCCTGGGGAATGAACGCAGAAAGAAAAGGTGGCATGTGTACACACCAGCACATTAGCCTTAAAAGAGACAGGAATTTGTCATATTCTGTGACATGGATGAACCTAAAGATTATGCTGAAGTAAACCAACCGCAGAAGGGCGAATTCTGTGTGATTCCACTTACACAAGGCATCGAAAGGAAAGGAGTCCAGCTCGCAGAAACAGAAAGCAGAATTCGAGCTGCTGAGGGCTGCTCAGCGGGTCCAGCGCCTCCGCCACGCAAGACGACAAGTCCTAAAGATATGCTCAGCATCGCACTCCGCACTCCAGCATCAAGAGGATAGAGTGCGTGAGACATGTCTTTACAACAGCACATGAACAAAAGATATCCACGGGCATTCACCAAGGATATTAAAGTGGCCGGTAAATATGGAGAAAAGAGATTTATCACACTGGCCATCAGGCAAACTCAAATAGCAAGGAGGTCTCCTTGCTCATCTACCGGACTTGGGGTGGGGTGTCAATCAAAAAACCAAAAACCTAACAATAACTATACTGGTAAGAATGTGGAAAAAGGAGCTCTCACACTCTGAGAGTGGCGCTTGGTGTGATCACTTTCTAAATCAGTTTGACATCTTATAATAAAATTAAGTGCACTCACAGCCCTATCTTTGCCAAGTGGGGGAAAAGATCTCTAGATAGGAAGGGTCTGAGAGATCAGTCTCTAAATCTCTCCCAAAGGCTACACTGTCTCTAGGATTTCACGGCTATTCAGACAGGTCCAGACTCTAGCAAAGCAAGAGATCCACAGAGAATTACCTGCTAAAAGTTGAGGGGGAGGGCCGACTGAGTACTGGGGTAAATGCCAGCAGATGTATAAAAGTGACTACCCTGATGCATGCTACCTGGGGAAGGTGGCCGTTGCTCGCCCTCCCCAGTCCCCTCGAGTTTGGGTCTAAGTAGGGAATGAAGCGCAAGAATCAGAACGCTTCAGAGAGAAAGCTAGTTGGGAAATATTGACCAAGTAGGACTTCTCTTACGCTCTGGAACTGAACTTCCTCGCTCAGACTCGTATGCGGCAGGGCAGCCTGGCAGGGGAGGCTGGGCAGAGCCTTCAGAAAATAAGCGCGGGGGGGCGGAAATCAGCCTGCCCACCAAGGCCCCCTTCCTAGACCCCTCCGGGGAGAGGAAGGGGTAAGAGGACCGCAGGGAGCCTGCAGGCAGCCCCTGGATTTCCCCGGTGCTACGGAAGTACGGCTGGGATGGATCAGGAGAGCAGGAGGTAGAGCACAGGAATGGAGCAGACCTCGGATCTCTGCAGCACTTCGGTAACATCTGCCGTAATACTACTACTAATAATAATAATAATAATAACAATGGAGTGCTAGCCGGGCGTGGTGGCGCACGCCTGTAATCCCAGCACTCGGAAGGCTGAGGCAGGAGGATCATTGCGAGTTCGAGGCCAGCCTGGGCTACAAAGTGAGCTCAAGGCCAGCCGGAACTGCATAGAGAGACCCTGTCTCAAAAAGACAAATAATAATAATGATGATGATGATGGTGATGGTGATGATGGAGTGCTTGCTGTTTCCATACTTTTCATCCAGAACCAGTCTGGAACTGGACTGCGAGACTTTCAGCGGGTCAGGCACCTTCTGGAGCAGAAGGGGTCTGGCCCGCACAGGCGCGGCGTCCGGGGCCCGCCCGCC